TATATTATATGTGTCACTAGAATTCAGTTTTACGAGTTATTCGAGATAATGCAGGCTAACAGATCAATACGCGTCTCTTGCAGAAAAACTAAAAACATTAAATCGAGACTGAATTGCAGTTTAGGCACACGAACGATATATATATTGAAGTTTTTCGGTTTTCAGAGTTACAAATATAATAAAAAACGGAACAAGTTGGAGGAAGGACAAGACTATGTTATATACAAGATTTTTACATATTTATTCAAAATTTTTTGGCTTTATGCTCATTTCTTTTTTGACAGAATCAGTTTCGACTTTTTTTATGATTGTTTATTCAATTTGCTTCAATGCAATAATTTTTATATGCAATACGAAACTATACAAAACATAATTGTTGTACAACGTTCCGTATCACTTCTCATATTTTACTACAAACTTCATTCCAAACAACAAGCAAAATTCGTCATATTTGTTTGTAACAAATTGTTAAAATCTAATAAAGTCTTAGTTCAGAAAATCAATTTCAAAATAAATTATGAAAATTTAGCTATGAAAATTATATTAAAAATTAAACTATTTATTTTAAGTGTAGAAATTCTGTTATATATGTGCTATTTCTTTTACATGCCAATTTGTTATAAATTTTTATTCGAGATAATTTTCAATACAATACAAACTTATCAAAATGTATTAATAATACAACAGAGAAACATTAATCGGTTCGCTGAACTTATTTTAAAGGATCTGGAAACTTCAAGGAATATCAGGCATTGTCACAAGGAACTAAGAAATATTATACTCTTAACGAAACATCTAGAGAAATGCCAAAAACTGTTTATGAAAAACATGAATTGGTTCAACTGGATTCTGATTTCTAACATCTTCAGCTTCATTTTCAATACCTATTTATGTTTAAACTGCATTATATACGTCAAAAGTGGCTATCTACCTATTTCAAAAAGCTTATTTTACTATGTACCATTTATAATTAACTATGCCATAAATATATTCATTCTGACAAGTCAAAATGAGGATTTCGAAGAGTCACGAAGACTTACAAAAGATCTTATATTTATAATATCTCTTAAGCTTCAAAACTATTCAAATCAAAAGGAAAAGTTTTATGATTGTGAATATTTGGTAAATGAAAAATACAAACACATATCATATGATATGTACGATATGTATATGTATGATATGTACTGAACTAACGACTCTAATTTTAGGTACAAAATTTTTTTTCGGGATTTGCTATTGTGTCTAGTTACTCTCTCAGATTAACGGATGATTTAATTTTAAATCGTGAATTTATGTTTGATTTTTTTATATCGGTATTACTATATTCCATAACGTTTCTTCAATATCACTACGATCTTACTTCAAAGCATATAGATTGCTTGCTATAACATCATTATTTGTATATAAAATAAATTGAAAAAATTGTACACATGCATTGTTAATATATTGGACTAAATAATTAAATAATGGAATTTTATTTACTAATGGTAGAATAAGTTAAAATGATTCATATTCACAGGGAATTTTATTTACTAATGGTAGAATAAGTTAAAATGATTCATATTCATATTTCGAATTCATTATTTCGAATTGGAGTTTCTAAATCATTATTCATAATCATTACCAATCTTTGTGCAACAATAAAATCACATCCGATACAAAGGAACGCCTACTTCGTGGTTAAAAATAAACCTTTTTGCAAGAAAGGCATAGGAATTTTAGAGGAACTTTCATTTTTGTAAAAATAGCTTTTATGGCTTAAATAAGGACATAGACAAGTGATTTAGATTATGAATATGAATACCCTACTTAAGTTTACCTACCTACTTAATTTATATTTGTTTGTAAAAAAAATTAATTCGAAAAAAATTGTACTAGAATAACTATTTATGTTTTGAGCTTATTAATGAAAAAAATGCTACCTTGTCGGTGAAAATTGTTTTATTGTTTCTCGAAGTATACTCCTTTATGATTAATTCACTTTTGCATGCATGCGAACCTTTTGTTAAAGGATTTTTTTTAATCTTCTTCAAACACCTTCAAAACATGCTTAACATAATAAATCCAACAACGCCTTCTTCCGCCGACAAAAATTGTTGTCCACGCAGTTTACGAGTATTCTTGATGTTCGGGAACAAGAAGAAATTATTGGGTGCCAAATCAGGGCTGTACGGCAGATGACGCATCAATTCGATTTTTTGAATGTTCAAATCGCCGGTTGTTAGACCAAATGTGTGAACACTCGCATTGTCTTAATGGAGATGGAGAATGGTCCGACGACGCTTGTTTGTTTTCCGTACTTCACTGAAGACTTCCGATAAACAAATGGTTGTGTACCATTCGGATTGACCCATTGACGTTCCTGTAATGGTAAAGTTTTCACATAACCTGTTTCGAGTGCGAATAACTTTTGTTGGATTTGGTTATGTTGTTTACATTCCAAGTAATACGCATATATCCATGATTCGTCACCTATTTCTCATAAACCTATTACTCAAAAAATACAGATAATTGGTTTCGATAGATGTAACCAACATCTATAGTTATATTAAAATATGTATAAACTGGTGATTAGAGTAGGGTAAAGCAAAATTTTATTCTTGATTTGTATCAATTTTTTTTTTAAATCTAAGTACTACTGCAACTGTAGCTAGCTGGGAAAAGATGTAACTTTAGAACCTCTCATATATATTTAGCCTGTGTCATCAGGAACATGTTTAAAATGGTTTACATCCTACATACCTACTGTAAATCTGCATAAAAAACCAAATCCATCTAATAAAGCATAGGACCAAAAGATCTATATATTAATTATGGTCAACCGAATTACTCTAGCCTGATCCTACAGATCAGTAACTGCGACAATTTCACTAGCAAAATAATGTGCCAAAGACTATCATATAAAATTTATATAAATATTTACCTTCCACCTTATTATTAAAAATAAATTAATTACATTATTACAATTTAAAACAATAAAAAATTGTTAAAAAAAAGGTTAACATAGCAATTCTTATATATTGTCATCATATTAAAATATCAAAATAAAATATTATAAAAATCGGAAAAGGAGTATATTTATACTATCAGACAACTACGTTGATTTTCGTCAAAATAACATCTAAGTCGCATGTGTGAACGATATATAGACACAGTTCAAGATTTTTGATTTCTGCGTTGAGAGACATAGCGATATCGGTAACAACACAGAATACCATAGCAATAAATTCGGAACATTGAAAATCTGCGTTAAATCGTTAACAATCATTGAGCCTTAATTAGTTGCAAAACCTTTCTATAGAATACATCTTGGGCTTTTGGAATACATCTTGAACGATAAGAATAAATCTTACTTCAACACAAAGTTGCTGCAGGTTACATACGATAATTACAATAACGAAACTTAACCCAGCAACTCCATATTTGAGATTTCAAAATAATATTTTAATTACAGAATACGTTAACGACACCTGATATACCAACTAACCGGATATAACGACTGTTTCTTAAAGCCAAATTTGATTTGCCTTACACGCGTACTACTTACAGACTTTTATAACTATATGGATATAACGACATATCGGTTATTGCGACCGTACTTTTTTAAAATGTTGGTTCTGAATAATGGGTACAACCATCATACAAAAAAAAATGTTGTTTATTATTTAAAACAAGTTCTAGTCGATATATAATTTTTATTTCTAGAGTTTATATAACCGCTTATAACGAACAAATGGAGTCGATCCGTTCATTGTCATTATAACCGATTCTGACCACAGAACAACCGATGATCACCACAGAACACGTAAATATAAATGCATTTTAACTGTTCGTCATTTATTTAAATGTAGAAAACAACTATTGAATACCTGCTCAACTTTAGAACGTTTTTTTCCTATTTTACACACAATCCAAGCAATAAGTATTAGTATTACCTAGTATTATTTACTGGATTTAGAGTGGTCTATGTTAAAAGTAATCTGAATATGGTTCAAGTTACAAAACTCGTCGTACATTGGACTTTATTGCATTAGTTTAACTATAAGTCTGTCTTAAGTTCATGCGTTGCTGGATAATACGTTAACAGTTTATAAGTATTTCCACGTCAATGTAGACACAGATTCCACTCTACTGTTTGTGAATTCACTTAATGGCCAATAACATTTAAGTGCATTAATAACATTTTAGCACCTGCCATTAGACGAATTCAGCGTCATGTATGCATGTAAATGCGTTTATGTACTATTGTACAAAGTAAATTGAAAGTACCAAAATATTTGATTAGCATCGTTAAATGTTAAACTAAATTAAATGAGGTGCTAATTATACAATTAAATTTTGGCTCTCTCGGCGCTTGCATGCAGTGAGCCACTAAAAAGCCACAAAATTTTTATGACCACATCGGGTACCGCCGCTACCACAAAACATAAAAATAATGAAAATTATTTGTTACATAAATTGTTGGAAGGTATTATATACTACAAAGTAAATAAAAACATTTAGAAAAAAGAATTCGAGCATTTTAATTTGTAATCAATATGCCAGTTGTGGACAAGTATAAATCCGCAGTGGGGCGCTAATGTTTATGGCAGCGGCACAAAATGCTATTATGAACGGTAGTGAAAAAAGGATCATAAATCAACTATTTATGCTCGGACAAAAACAACAAATCTAGTGGCTTGCATTAATTAAAATTTTAAATAAATAAATATAAATATGCTATACGCTGCAAAAATTCTACACATATATAATGCAATACATTGTAATTGTTAAAATTAACAAAATAACGAACACCAAATTAATAAAAAAATAAAATATATTTTTAAAATTTAATATGAATTTCAGTACATAAACGAAGTCATTCTTACTTAAGTGAAAAAATTCAAAATATTTTTAAAAATGCAACAAAAAACTTTTAAAACTTATTTAAATAAAAATAGTATTAAAATTAAATATATTTTGTTAGTTTTATTCCCCATTTTCATATATGCTTTATTTAAAATCAATTCGGATAAATTACACAACGTACCATTAGACTTAAATAAAACACCAGTACACATTTCATACTCTATGGAAGCAAATCTGAACTCGTCCACAGCGTCGGCAGGAGCAAGTGATTTTAATAAAATCTTATTACAACAAGTAAAGCAAAATATAGGAAAACCGCTCTCTAACACTGCAGAACTAGAATCGAAACAGCAAATTATACTTGGCAGCACTGTAACAGTGAGCAGATACGATGATAGAGCCACGACTCGAAATGACTTTACTGTCGAAACAATCGCAGGCATCCATAATGGATTTCATGATAAAATTAATTTAAGTAATCAACAAAATGAATTAGTTGGTCATAGTGCAAAAACAACAACAACAATGCTGCCAATCCCGTTGCTAGCTAGAGCAGCGACAATTCCAAGAAGAAATCTTGAAACTATTAAAGTACACACAAGCAGCACAAAGACTTCAACTTCATTGCCAGTGAAGCATCAATTCGCGGAGTCAACATATTATGAACGTGTTGAACTGTTGGAATCCATGGCCCAGGAAAAGCGACAAAAATTGTTATTACATCGCCAGAAGCGTTATTTAATCTTTCCCGAAGGCAGTTCGTTTCAATTGGGTAAGTTGATTATATTAAAATTGCTTTTGTTTTAATATTGCTGGATATTGTTTTTCTTGTAATTTCACCGCATCATCAGTAAAATCTTTGCTGGAAAGGAAATTAGTGTTTATTAATTGGTTTTCTAAACCAAATTGCGTGCAGCTGCAATGATAGCAAAGTTAAGAGAATTAAAAAACAAATAAAAAAATTTGAACTTTACGGTCCATGTCAAGTTGATCAAATGACAGCAAATGCGATTAGAAAAATTGAAAGAGAAATTTGTGTCTAATTTTAAGAAAATTTGCCCTCTGAAATATTAGAGTTGCCAAAAATATTTTTTCTTAGATTATTCTTAATACTGACCTGCAATAAATATAATTATTTAAAACAACATAAAATACTCAATCTAATTTACTAAAGCATTAAGATACCAAATAGAACTAAATAGAAATATTTTTATTATTAATGAAAAAGAATTATAAAAAAACTAACAACATTAGGCGATATAAAAAGTATCCGCAGTGTTTTGGTAAATTTTTTAACAAAAATTTTCCATTATGAAAATTTATTTTAATTAAGTATATATTTTCCATAACTGTTTACACCATTTTGCAATTTTTCTGATTTTTCTGTCGTTTGTCGGTAAAAAACTTGCCTAAGAGATTTTGAGAGACCGAAATAAATAGTAGTCAGATGGTGCAAGGAATAGGCTATATTGTCAATGAATTATAATTTCCCAAGCAAATCCCATCATAATAAAACATAACTTCTTTTCTGTTGACCAACTCTGATCACTTTTCCTTGATTCTTTCAAACTAGCGTTCGATTTATGAGCAGGAGGGGATCGAATTAACCGCAGCATTGAGCGAGAGCAACTTGTAACAGACAATTTCCTTCTAATTCCACTAAATATGCAATGTAATCTTATTGTCATCAATCCAGGCTTTGAAATCATTTATAAAGCATCACCGAGTTTTGAAATTAATCACTTGTGTTGGATATTTTGATTTACTTCAAAATGGTTCCGTTTCTTGGTGTTTTAGCAGCGTTTTACTAATGATATTTCGGTCAATAAAATTTAATACCTCCGACTTTCTTCCAACAGCTTGTTTGTCGGTCTTGCTCCACCAATTTTGGTGACAAAAAGCGACACATTACCCATATTAAATTAATTGAAATATATTATGAAGAATTTACATAGTCAAATTAAAAAAGGCAAGATTTTAAGACTTTGCATTATAATTATAAATAAATAAGTTAAAGAAAATGAAGCAAAAAATAATCTGAAATATCTTCATTTGACATTGAAACGACTATGTCTACATAAAAGTGGCTACATAAATATTTTCATTGCCAATAAATAATCAAAAATATTTTACTTAATATCATTAGTTAAATATTAAAAGAATATGACAAAAATAGGTGTAGTGAATATTTTTAATGTTTAACTAACTAAAGAATTAGCTAAGTGTACACAGCAATTGCTTCAATAGCAGTAATAACTGAAATTTTTTTGAACTTATTTATAAGGAACAAGAATTTATTTTTCATTAATCAAATTTTTAGACTTATCAATAATCTGTTTTAAATAAATCTGAACTAAAAAAGCCCTTTCAGAGGGCAATTGGCTTAAATCCTCCTAAGGTGGGGTATAATTTGACAAAGTTTGAGAAATTCTAGTTTAAATATTAAAATTAAACAAAAAAAATTGCTTTTACATAAAAAAATGTTTTATTTCACTACGATAGTTATTATCCTCACCTCATTTGGCAATAAATGCAACAACAAGATTATCGAATTACATAAAAAAATTTACTATACTCGTATTCATTTTCAGCATTGGATTCTATTTATTTAAAAATTGAAAAATATGGCTAGTTGAAAAATATTCAAATAATGAATATTTAAATGACCTTAAGAAGCTTATTTTCAAAAGTACAAAAATCGAATGACATTCACGTAGAATATAGAGCTCAAAGGTGCCTACGTCGAAAAAAAATTTAAATGTAACCAAAAATTCTATTAATACTGACGTATAAAGCAACCCTCGTATTCACATATACCATACTTTGCATTTAACTATTATAAAATATATTCATTTTTAGAAACCTAGTTCTAACTTTTAATTCAATTTAATTTATAAAATACATTAGAGAAAATACGAGAAAAAGTAATACAAAAAAAGTTAAATACTGCTAAATACCAATAATTCATGATCGTAAGAAAATAATAAAAATGAATTTATATCTTAGCAAAAAACTAAAGATACAAATAAATTTTAGATAAAATTTTGCAACACAGTTTTAAAACCGTTATTTATATTTTTTAATTTCTTCTACAGTATTCGATCTTATCATACCGATAGTCGATTATACGAACTATGCTATTATGGGTATCACTTGCGCTGTAGCTTGGGAACTTCCAAGTAAACCACCTAGCGAAATAGTCGAAAATTTTCGGGATAAGTTAAACGATGGCACTTATGGTCTAACACGACGCAACGATACTCTACACAATAACATCAAGTACGTTGACAACACCAACAATGATTTTGCTGTAAATTCCCCAGCAACAATGAAAACTCAAAATCTTTATCAAAATTCATACACAAACCAAAAATCAGTACCAACTCCCACAGACCCGTATTACAATTTCAATAACAATTATAACAATGGCAATTCAAGTAGCACGGCTGTTCAGTTGGAATCCAATGCGTTGTATGCAAATCCTTACGAAACTACAAAAACGGCAGCCGTTAACCAGGCGCTGCATCCTGCAACCTATTCGACACACTACCAAGCATACAATGTCGGTGACAACTCTGCTAAATACTCATTCGATAAGACTCAAAGTAAAACTTTATACGGGAATCGAGCAGATACACCAACACACTCAAAATATTATAAAACGACAAATGGCGTCAGTGGCATTTCCGGGTATAAGTACGCAGATAAGCAAAAATTTACTGATTGGCATCGGCAAGGCAATACTGCGAAAACAACGAACAATGTTATATACGGGTATAACCAGAGGCAGCAACAGCAAAAACACCAACAACAGCAACACCAGCAACAGCAACAACAACAATCGCTGCAATTGCAATCTGCAGTAAACACAAAGTATGAGCAAGGACATCCGGGTTGGTCCAAGCATAATTGGTGGGAAACAAACAAGCAGCGTATTGAAAGCGATTGGCGTGAAAAGCAACACAAATGGGCTAAATACGAATCAGTGTAAGTGTAGCACACTTCATACAGCTTTACTTTAAATCATGCTGAACGATTATTTTAAATGTGTAACAAAGAGCTAAATGCTTTAATTTATTCCCTTTACAGACAACCAGAAAAATCAACCACTACCAAGTACAATGCGCCTATTTATGCTCCGATACGCACTGGCAGAAATCGTAAAGTACTACAAAATCCGCCCAAGCATCGTATTTATCCTGTATTCGGCAAAAAACGACGTCGACGACGAGCCCAAAGCCAAAGCTCGGGAGGAAGGGACAGAAATTTGCTAGATTTCGAGCTCAAAATGGAGCGAATTCATTTGCATGAGCATGTACAATCGCGTCAGATATTGTATAGAAAAATTGAAAAACTTTTCCAAGCGTAAGTGCTGCGGCTTCGTGCTTCTTTTTAGTGCGTGCCAAATGCTGTGCGGCAGGACCAGCAACAGCATAGAACCAAGGAGCAGATAAATTTAGAGATTGTCTGCTTGGCGTATACATTTGATAACTTTGTCGTGTTGCAAAAAGTCAAATGCATTCAACTTTAATTTTTGATAAAACTCGCTTCTATATTTTCAACATTTTCCATTCGTTGGAACTATAGGATTTTTTTTCAAATCTTTTCATTTTTCATATATTTTTCACTTTTTATTTGTTTAAAGTTTTATGTATATATATTTTTATAACTTTTTAAACTATTTTTATGCTTTTTACAGACACGGTCACAATGGCACCGCTTGTGTACTGCGGGCACTTTGCGAAACTGGGCAAAGGCACTTTCGCACTGAACCACAAACTTTTATTATGGAACTTTTACGAGCAATTTTCGTATTACCAAAGGATATGCCACCTGCAGTACAGGAACGTATAACTGGAAAAAATGTTAAAACAAAAACTAAAGTGAAGCCACACATTGCGACGCACTACAGTAACGCATACGGTACGCAGACCAATTGTGGGGAACTTTTCACCATGTGTGAACACAGCATTTGGAGCGATTTTGAATTTAAAATGTGATAATTATTATTTAAAGAAAACTTTTTCAAAATAAATAATAACTTTAATTGCTACTTCTAATAATAAATACATTTTATAGAGGAGAGTACTCATATTAAAGTTTAGAAAATTGTAAATTTTAACTCACTTTTTAATTATAAAACCAACAGAATACCTATATTATACAGAAATATTAAAATAGGGAATCAGGAAATAAATGTTTAAACGTACATTATCTTAAATACATAACAATAATAGTACACCAATTCACACAGTGACCCTAGAACAGAAAAATGTATGTTAAAACAAATTTGACTAATACAGTTTGTATATTAAATCGAAATAACGAGTTACTAGTTAGTTTATAGATAAAACTAGTTTATTGCAAAACACTGATTCCTTGAAAAGAAATATAAACTGTTTGAAAATATCTTCTTCGTTGAAAAAAATTCGTTCATCGAAAATATCTATTTCATGGAAATGAACTAGAAATAGTTCACTAAATATAATAAAAAGAAATTAGCTTCTTAAAAACTATTAGTCATTACAAAGAAAATAAATTATAGTAAAGAACTCGTTAAATAGAAAAGATACATTAAAAAAATGAATTCACTAAAACGAACTAGTTATATATAAAGTTTTAGTCAATTGAAAGAAAATAAATTATACAAAAAACGTAGTTAATTAGAAGTAGTCATTTGAATTAATTTATACAATAAAATATATTAATATTTTTTCTTTCAATCGTAATTGTATCAGTTGAAAATTCCTGTTGACTCTGTCATGAAGGAGAAGGAAACATCAGAACAATGTTCTATGCAACAGCCCAGCGCGGCGGCAAGACATAGACTCGATACCTTGGTAGCGGGATCCTGTTCCCAAATCAAATAGGTAAAATAAACCGATGGATACGAAGTGGATCAATTTGTTCACTTAATTCAACCCGCTTTACAATCTATTTTAGTTTAGTTTTTTCTATTTTATGAATTAAAATGGTTTTTATCAATTTTTTTATTAGCCGGCTTCGACTGATTATGAAAATAAAAAGAAACAAATATTGACCCATAATGTTGTGCCATAGTATGCAAGCAATAGTGAAAAGGGGGGTGGAGAATTAAAACGAATTGTTATCACTTTAATCAATGAGGACTGTCAAAATTTATGCTACTGACAAAAAATTAAAAACGTTCGTTAAATTGTCTTTCAGTCTTTCATATTTGGACAATATTGCATGAAGATCTAAACAGAATAAAAATCGTTACACATTATTAACTTTGGACCAAAAATCACTTGATTATTTCCACAATTCCGTCAAAACAGTTTAAGCAAAACAAATATGTTTTTTGGAGATTCATAAATATTTATTAATTACAGATCCACCACCACTATACTTCGAATACTAGAGAGCAATCAAAACAATTGAATGAAATTAATGTGATTTCATATAAAGGCGAAAACTTTGATGGCTACTACTATTTTTAATATTTAGTAAGCGTGTGTTGCTATTTAACTAACTCGAAAAATTCAAGCTTATTATCCAATATTATTAAATAAAATAAGCGTCGTCCATTTTATCCACCAGAATTAGCCGCAGTAACTATTTTTTGTTTCCAAAAAATAAAATTTTAAAAGCTAAAATTATCGTAAAATGGAAATAAAATAAACAACGTAAATAAATATATTGAAAACTTTAAAGCTACTATGCTGGGATTCCAGATTTAAGCAGAAAGGATATTTTTATTAGAGACCTTTCTATCCGGCACTTTTCCCTAACCGATAATATATAAGGTGCTTTGAAAGGTAAAAGTGGAGGTGGTACATCTATTATATACTATGTAATTAATTGTTATTTTTTATAATGTTTTCTTAGTACCATTATTCTGTACCATTATTCTTGAAATGCTCAACAATACATGTCTGTCAATAATATCAATATCAAAGGGAATTATGTTATTTTACACAAAAATTTTTAACGCGTCAAATTATGCAAACAAGTTGTTTGTACCTCTAAGCGCTTCTAGTTCAACGACTGTCACATTCTGTGAGCTATAGGATTGGATAAAGTTTTATAAGTTTATTTGATTTGAACAACTTTGATAACCAAGTTTTTTAAAGGTTGTTGGTGTTGACGTCATCTATGTGCATTCCGAGGTTTTCGATGTTATTGATGTTTTCATTTTGTTCCATATTCGGGTTGTAGAACGGGAAAGTTTATTGTCCATCTTTGCATATTGAAAATATGGAATGTTATAATTTACACATTTTTTTTTGCAAAACCTTAGGCATCGTAATTATTCAATCAGTCAGTATCAATCTCCGTATCCGGTATTCAAACACCAAACGTTTTGCCGAGCGAGATGATGTTAGAAAGTCCGAAAGACTCCCAATCATAACTGTGAACAATCCACTATTAAGAAAAATCAGTTTACTTTGATTACTGATTTTAATGACCCCATAACTACGGAAAACCTCAAATGAGTCAAAACGTGAAGACCTACCTGTTGTATAAACATTATTCATAATACTTTAAAATACAACACTGTAGTTAAGTATAGTTAAGTTAACCCATATCAGGTTTGGTTAAGTTGAGAAGGTGCGTGTTGCCAGTTATGTGCATTGCCTATTGTTATGACCACAAAGTTTTTGCCGGAAGAGGCGAGTTGCTAACCTTTGTTATCTTCGTGTACTAGCCTTGTTAAACCATTTGGTTTTCCAGATAAAGTTAAGGAGATCCGATAAGTTTACTGTTGAGAAAAAGCGATCCCTAAGACATTAAAGTCGCCTTGTCTGCAGTCCCGGACAGAGCCACTGGAAATGGTTGATATATTCTATCTCCTCCTCATCTTGTCAACTCCTGCATAAGGAGGAAGTAGAAGTTGATACTATATTTTATTATATGAGAGCAGTCTAATAAAGAATGTCAGACATATAACACTACCTTGAAAGACTACCATGATGAGGCATGTCAACTTCCCATGTCTCAACTTTTAATTATTTATATATTCTTAATGTGCTGTGATCCAAAGCTAAATCAACAACAATATCTTATTTAGAAACTGAGATCACTCTTTCCTCATGTGTGATGAAGATAAAAAATTAAATATGCCATTTAACCATTGTTTCATATTGTCTCAGCGTAAAATTATATGAGCAACCTATGTCATCCACTTATCAACTACCATCTGGCAAATCCAGATAAAATTTACCTTTAGCCCACAGCAAAAATTCTTCCATTAGCTTAAAAAGTACAACCAATTTGTCTACTAAAAGTCAAACATACAGACAAATAGATGGACAAACATCACTAATATATTTCGTTCCACTTTAAGGATCTAGCCTATAAATGATTAATATAAGCTCTGACGTATTGCAAGAGTATGAAACTTCTTTTCTGCTACATTATAGTATAATATTTTAATTAAAGTCATTCCAACTCGGTGCTCGCAAAATATTTAAATGAATAAAAACAATTTCGTTTTATCAATTAAAAAACTTTACTTATTGTCACATTTGCATGTGGTAACCAACATTTTATCTGCGGCAGTTCTGCCAGTGGTATTTTCATTTAACTGTGCGGAAAATAGCTGCAACATATTTGAAACGATTTGAATTTAAATTTTTACACTAATTAAGAATGAAAATTAAAATTAAAAATAAAAATTAAAATTAAAATAAAAATAAAAATAAAGAGCAGCACTGAAACTGCATTGAATAGAAGTAAAAATTTACCAACAGAAACACACGAGGTAGTAAATTATAGTGTAAAGACAGCGCCGATATGAAATGAAGCGCTGAAGGATATGTGTGGTTGACTGCGGATGTATGTAAGCGAAGGATGAATATTCGTTAAAGTTGGTTTAATTTTAAATTGCAATCAGTAAAACTCAAAAAAAAAAATATATATAAAATAAAAGTAGCAAAAGTATAGAATACAAACAACCGCAGTTCACTCAACTTTACACCAACAAATAAAATTAAAAACAGAATGGCAAATACCGGAAACAGACACGCAATTTAAAAGGATATAAATAAAAAGTGACAGAAGTGCATGAATATCAGTTAAAAACAATTTCTAAAAGAGCTGTTGATTGAAAGAATGAAAACAAAAAGTGTACAACCACAAAATAGAGCAATACCAGTACTTAGATGAAGCATATGACATGCAACCGAATGAATTTAAACACCAACTAAAGGCCAAATGCAGTATCTTTTGAAAGCTCTAAAACAGAATCTGATTAAGTCTGGACAAGTCAGAATTAAGCGATTCATTTAATTATAATGCAAATATTCAACAAAAAACATGTAGACAGTGAAATTATGAACTATTCATTCACGTTAGTATTTATGTTACTTTCCGTAGCATTTTAGTTTTGTTCCCAATAATTGTCATATAAACTAAGCAAAGGAAGCGATTAAAGTTATATGTATACATAGAGTTTAATTTTTCTTCTAAGTTCAAAATAATTAATTTGTGATTTTACAACAAAAATAAAACTTTATATTTAGTTTTTAAGAACAATACACTGAGAATGCTGTTGAAGTTACTCTACAAAAACAAAACAAATTTTCTACTTATCGTTGAGTGTCAAGAAAAAATGCATACTAACAACAAACACTTCGACTTTATAACTTTTAGCATCAATAACCTTAATTTTTTCTTTTAGAATAGCAAAAGAAAAAAACTCGCAACTTATGTAAGAAAACATATGAAGTAACAATAATGCTCTTAAAATCTTCAGAGTTAGGTTTTACTCGCAAAAACTTTTACGTTTTAAGTTTTAGTGGAGCCAAATTAAAAAATCAGTCTATTGTGAATCTTCACTAGATATATTTTACAAAATTTTAGCCATCCATTTAAATCATATAACCATTTCATTTACTAATAAAGTCAAATATATAAATAAATAATTTAATTTAAATATGTAACATAAAAATGTTTACCATTGCGCTTCTAATATTCATTTTGGTTTTTTTTTATTTAAGTTAATTAATTTTTAGTATTTATAATTTCTATACAGACAACAAATAATA